ATTCCATTTAAGTTTGAGATTGATTATACAAAATCCTAGTCTTGGGGTCAGCATTAGTTTCAAATATGTCATCATCATAATTATAATTGATTAAAAGTCTATCTCTTCAAGGTCCTAACTTGCACACTTGGCCTGAAATATTCTGATTAGGACAATTGGATCCCACTTAAGCATTACCATAGAAATATTTTAATTTCACGTCCATTTTCAGCTAGAAGACTGAGCACCACATAGACATGAATCTTGCAATGAATCTAACCTAGTAAGCAGTGTAAGAGCATTCAAAAATCATTGGAAATCATATAAAATATTTGAAGGTGTAAATCAAATCGTGTTAGCTAAAGTCCCAAAGTTGTATAATGGCCCTGAGCACTCCATTTTCTTTCTTCAGGAAAATATTGAGAGGTATGCCTAGCACAATCATGGCAAGGCTAGGACCGTATGACAGGTCACCGTGGCCCAACTTTGGGAGTGGAGGCCCAATAAGAAGCACATGCCATGTTGGCCATGCCTTAACATACCGAGTAACCCAACAAATTTTTACACCTGTACGTAATACGAAGTGCAAGTGAAGATTTGAACACCCAAAGAGGCTGTGCACTGATTATTAGAACTCGTTTGATAAAACTTTTGAATAGCTAAAAGTTACTTCTGAATCTAAGAAATTACCTTTGAACCCATTGAATGAAATCAAGAACATTTTCAAAGAAATTCTATCCCCTATTCGGAAAGGTTTGTGGGTTCCAACAGCTATAGTAGCTATCACTCCACAAAATCATACATGAAATTTTCACCTCATATGGTTCTAGGGATGTTAACGAATCGAATCGAATCAAAGTCCGAGCCGAGTCGAACTTTTGCTCTGCCAAAATACTAAGCTTGACCTGAGTTTTCAGCTCAAGCTTTATCGAGCCGAGTTAGGCCAAGACGAGCCGAAACGACTCACGATTTTTTTTTAATAGGCAATTTGCTTTTGTTTTTTCTTAGGCTCAACTCGTCATGGGCCAAAAATGGCCCGGTCTAGAGCTAATGCCCCAAAATGGGGCTCAGCTCATACCGACTTAGGCTTTTCCAGGGCGGAGCCCCCAACCGCCCGAGTCGACAAGCCAAATTGACACCCCTATATGGCTCCGAATGAAGTCAAGAAAAACCTTAGAAATTATTATGATAATTTGAAAGTGCTTTCTCTAGTTAAAAGAGTTCTAAAGAAAACACCGAAATAAAAGCAAAAACTATGCCAAACATACCCTTAATAATGGTGCAAGGAGGCTAATCCATGTTTCCAAAGTGGACCGATTCACACATAGGACCTGTCCTCTTGCCTATTAAATTAAAAAATATGAAATTCATTGAAAATTAAAAATGAATTCATCAAAGAAACCATCTTGAACACTACAAGTTGCATTACATTGATTAAAGTTTTTCACTTCTTAATGATATTGACATGTAAATTCACAAATTAAGAGATGAAGTTCATAGCCAGTCTCAATCAAAGTTGACAATTTATTCAACAAAAGCATAATAGAGATCATTTCAGTCACTATAGTTTTTCAGACATGCCAACTTTTGAATGTCATCCCATTGCATATTTCTGTGTCCAGCTGCGAGCAGTAGACTCGTACTTGGCCTTGTCCGTCTTGTACATATGAGCAATTTCTGGCACGAGAGGATCATCAGGATTTGGGTCCGTCAACAAGGAACAGATAGACAGCAAGACCTACCATCAAAGTTTTCAGAAATATAGAAAGATGCATACCAGATTAATGACTTCATTAACTGAAAAATAACTAAAGAAAACAAATAAAGAGGAAAAGAATAATACAAAATGTGAAAACCTCATTCTCCATGACTAATTGAATAACACAAATAAAATAATGTATTTGAGTTATAATTAACCTATATAGTGGCAGAAATAACAGTTGATACTAAAATGGTATACCAGATACCCAAGTTATCCAGATTGTATTATCTCCTATCTAATTAAATATTCTATTTATAGATTGGATGAGTAGATCTCCTGGTGCAAATCCTCGAGTTCATTTCATTTTCTACATATTCTCCTACATAAGACTCAACTCACAACTTGCATGTATTTGATACTAAGAAGATTAACAATCTAATCTAAAACAAGGTCATTTTCCACCATTATTTGCAGGAAGGGATACTCATCTATCTGGGAAAAACAAGATATTTTACTCCACATCAAATAAGAATCAAATCGAGCCAATGCATGAAAATTAAGGAATTAATCAACTGCAGGAAGTGGAGAATCCAGAAATTCCATTCCCCTCCCTTCTCTTAGTGAGAATTATCACAACTATGTAAAACAAAACCGAAATGACTTGCATTCTAAAACAAAAATGCAAAGATAACGATACAAAACATAGATGGTAATAGTTGTGTATTGTAGAAGGACAGGATATGGTTGTGTACAACAAAAGGAAATAAGTCAATAACTCCTAACAATTGTATATAAAGATGTAAAGAACCAACAACCAAAAAAATCATTTTTAGGTAATGAACTGTTCCGTGAATGGTCAAGAGCAACAAGTCATTTCAAACCATGTTTGTACATGTATGGCCAGCCTGTGGATGCCACCCACAAAATGACATACCTTAGATATGGTCAATGCTGGGCTCCACTGTTCTTTCAGAATATCAAGGCAAATGCTTCCGTTGCTATTGATGTTAGGATGGAAGACTTTTGTCCTAAATGCAACCTAAAACAATGAACGAATCAAATTTTGAGATAGCTTGGCAACTCACAAACTTCGGAACCAAAGGGTTTCAAGAATATGCTATAAAACCCACGAAAAACCCACTTCCAACAAGCAAAGAAAACATGAGTCTGCAACACAATCATTATACAGATCACACAAAATGAGAAATTCAGTCTTCTCTTTTTTCCCAGTGATTCTATGTACACTTATGTAGTTCGATACAGGCACAAATTTACAGTCGAGTTCTCAATATACAAATGTCATGTCACAATAAGGACACTATCATAACATTCTACAGCAGTAGAGAAATATACTTCCTGAGAAAGAAGATGAATTCGCAAAGCAAGCAAACAGTTTACAGGACATAGCAGAATTAGAAGAATGATAAAATGACAAATAACAGAAATTATAAATTTTCATAGGCCTGAAAACGTCAAAACAATCAGCCTTAGAAGTACACTTCCGGAGCATCCTACTAGCTAGTTCCATGTCATTGTGGATCAACAACTGAATAATTATAAAATGTGACAAGCTACAGCAAAGAGTTGAAGCATACCTTTGGTGGCTTAAAAGGGTAATCAGGAGGAAAATGAATAGAAACTAAAAATACACCTCCAGCATAAGGGCTATCAGAAGGTCCCATAATTGTGGCTTGCCAGTGGAACATATCTTCTGCTACAGGACCTGCAATAATGATTTACATAATGGGGTTAACATATGGACTTACCTTGAAGGCAATTACTAAAGAAAATTCATGGAAATTAACAAGCATATATACCAAAAAAGATGTGCATAAAAACGCCAATATGCACGAAATCACATGAATTAAGCCCATGAATTCAACAATGTAATAAAATGTGAAATTGTCAAAACTGCAGCAATCCACAGTTTCCACGTTTAATTAGCAATATGACACCAGCACATGCCCCATGAATTCAGGTCGAGCGACAATGAATCCATGTAGAGGATAGCTTTAGGACCCACAAGTGAAACACCAGCAGTAATGCCAAGAAAAATGCTTCATTGCAGGTTGTGGATCAAATGTCCAACACCAAAAAGTCAGATGAGATCAAAATGAGAAAAGATGGTTATGTAAAGTTATGCTGAGTGGAGGATTAAGACATCCATCAGCATAACTACACAGGTTTACACAATGAACCCGAGAGTCAATAGAAAATTGACACTGCCAGTCTACCATAAGAAGAAAAGTCAACAATTTTCAGGAGATATGATGAAGATTTGATTGAATAATCCCCAAAAATATATACTTAATTTAGGTGTCAAATAATTCATTTACTTTTTAACAACTATTAGTTTAAGTTATGAAATCTCCATTTTGTTATTTTGAAAACTTCCCTATTTTACAAAGGTTCTTGAAAGCTACAATTCTTTGTACTGTTCATCTGTTTGTCGAAAAGTACCTTTCAAGATCTTGTTAAGAGCCGCCAACTACTACTCTCAATCTAGCAACCAAAAGTAGAGTTTTTGGCATTCTCCAATTTAGTTTTGACCTGATTTGCACAATTTCAGGGCTTTTCTTTTACTTTTTCAATCTCTGTTAGAAGAGAGGCTTCATCCCATGATGCAAATTTCTTGGAACTTATATTCACAGTTAAGCTTGTCAAGACGAGTTCTTTGGAGCCGGGGAAATTGTGAAATGAAAACATAGATTCTAATTTAGTTTTCTTATTTATTTCTAACCTGAATTATTAGCTTTAAGTTAGGAAACTTTCCATTTTGTTATTGTGGCAACTCTTCAATCTCTAGATTCCATGCATCAATTACATCAAGATAAAAGATGCTTACTTTAAAACATCCTTTAATTCACTCCAATGTAACTTTTCATACAGAAATGTATGTGATCAAAACGTCCACTAACTCACAACGTTTTGACAAATCATAGAAAACTAGTATCCACAACCTTGGAAACTTAAGCAGATAGCACATTATTAGATAAATCCTCTGATTCCAAACTGTACCAAATTTACTTGAGGTTGTGCAATTAAGTAGCTGTATCAATAGTACCAAGCACAATAAATAAATAAATAAATAAATAAAGAAACGGCTAAGTCAATAGTCACAAACCAAATAAACTATTAGCTCTTTAGAATATCTTTTTGACATTTTACAGCTCAGACATTTTGCTGCACTTAAACCAAAACTTTATGCACAAAACGGGAAGGAAAAATACCAGCGCTGCATGATGTAGGAGGGTCCTTCTGCAAATCCTTGAGCTCCTTCAATATCCGTTTGGACGCCATAAATTAACCTTTTTCACCTTCAAAGCAAAACCCTAACCTATCACAACAACAGCACAGCAGATCCTCGTAAAAACAAAGAACATCATAAAAATAAAAAACCCACAAAACATATAACAAATCCAATCTCCCAGAAAGTAAATCAACCCCTCAAATCCAATGATCTAATCCCAACTTCTTCAAAACACAAAATAAACCCTCTCCCCCAAATTCACTTCTTCACGAGACATCACATCAATAAGATTACATAACGTATATGGATAGTATGAGAAGAAGGGTACCTGATTGTGAAGAGGAGGGCGACGAAATTTGCAAAGAATAGCAGAATCCTGTGCCAATCCTTAGCAAGGGGAGAAGGGATTTCGATGAAAAACGCGCATTATATAGTAGACCAATATTTAATTTACTTTTTGTTGGGGTCCATAGTGTGTATTGTGTAAAGAAAATGGCGTAATATCAACGCCATTTCACCTTTATACGTTGCCTGTGGAGCGGATAATGTTTTGGACATATAGCTAGGGCTGTAAGCAAAAATTGTCAAATCGAAAAATCGAATCGAAACAACAATTTTGAAATCGACGGTTTGGTGCCACGTGGACCCGTCAACGAAATGACTTTGAACCAAACCAAACCGGTCAAAAACGGTTTGGTTTAGGTTTGAGAATTTTAATTATGGTTTGAAACCAAACCGAACCGGCAAAAAATATATAAAATAAAAAAATAAAAAATTGATT